ATTGGGAGGTGTAGCATGTCATTCGTTACTTGTTAGAAAACTCACAGGCAAACTGTATCTTCTCTCTATTTATCTACATCAGCCTGAGCATCATCATCTTTCCTTCAAAGGTCAAAGTAAACATTTACTTTGAACTTTGAGTGCATCGGCCCGGTGGGAGGTTTGGAGTGACGCACAGTGCCAAATGTAGCTCTTCTTCTGAGGCCGACAGCTTTGCTTTTTGCCACAGAAAAATAATGTCTGACAGAGAGAGAACAAAGCGATTTTGCCTTTCGGGCACGTAGACAGGTACTTTACTCATCTGCTGTTTGTTCAAGCTGTTCCGGGGTTCCTGCAGATCCTGAAATAGTTATAAATATTAGGCTTTAATTGGTATTAAAATGGGCTTCCAAAAACCTTAAAAATGCTAGGAGACACAAATGTTTTCTGATGTAATCTGTCAGTTAAAATCTGAAAAGAATTTATATCATCTTCCCTCACATTTATAAAGAACCAAACTACTTTGCTCTGAGGAGGAGATGTTCAAAGCAAACGATGTGGGGGATCGACAATTTCAATGAAAACAGGCAGTTTCTGAGGCACAGCTGAGGCTGGTACCACATAAGGCGAGATGTATTATGTGCAGGAAGTGTTGCAAACTCTTTTAAGGGATTTAAGGCAGTGAAATCCTGCAGTGCTGCCAAGCTCTGGACGCCCTTTTCCTTGCAGTTCAGCTAAAGCCGCCTACCACACTGCTTGACCTGCCCGTTACATCCCACATCAGCTTGTTTAAGCTCAGGGAGCGCCTGAACCAAACCACAGAAATTAAACACCAAACTCATTTTGTAATTACTTCAGTTTTGCTTTATTGTAGAGTTTATGTTAAATGTTATTGTTATCATTCACCTTAAATCCAACTTCTTAAGACGCAGGACCCAAAGCCAAATAATAATCAGACTGATCATCCAAAAGTCCAAAGACACCCAGAAAACTCTCAGCAGTTTAATGACTAAAAATTGCTGGTCTGAATATTGCTTGTGTATTTAATAGCCACTTAAAAGCAATCATATTTTAAATGTAGCTCCATGTGTGGCATTTTAGCCTTTACTGCAATAGGAAAGTGGAGAGAAAAAGAAAAGATGACTTCAAGGCAGATTCAAACCCAAGCTGCTGCATTGAGCTTACAGCGTATTAGTTGCCAGCGAGATAAACCAGCACCAAAGTGTGACTCTTCAACAGAATGTCAAGTGGCACTAACTTTAGCATTGTTAGCATTTAATGTGTTTCAGGTTACCTGAACATAGTTATGTGCTATTCTAGTTGAGTGGATAAATGCTAGCTTTCTGTCACTCCTGAGAAGGCTGTTCCAAGTTTTCTCCACGTGTGGATAACGGCTCTGATCGTGGTTCACTGGAGTCCCAAAGCCTAAGAAATGTTTTTTAACACTTTCAAGACTGATCAACCTCAGTGAAATTGTTTCTCTGCTGTTTCTTGTGGCATGATGTCGTACTTTTTGAGAATGTCAAACGGGTTCTTATTAAGTGATTTCTTAATTCAACAGTAATCAGCTGGGGTTAATCAAAGTTCATTCGTGATTTAAAAATCATAAGATTGTGTTAGATCTTAAGAATATATGAATAATTATGAATAATTATTTCATCTGATATTTCTGGTGACTAGTTGTGATGGTATCAATGCTTAATTGTCTGGCTGACCAGTTGTGCAGTAAGCACCTTTGTTAAATGATGTATTAAACCAAACAAGTTCTTCAAGAGGTCACAGGAACCATCTTCACCGTGTACAGTTCAAGGAGCATGAAAAGACCGCTGTTCTCTCAATACCAAAAAAAATCACGTAATCCACATATTTTTTTCAATCATCTCTAATGATCTAATCGGCCTTTAATTTCTTTATTATGCTCCATGACTCAGGACTCGGGTCTTGATTGAAAGTCTTAAACTGTGCACTGGCAGACGGACCCTCTCGACCTGAAACGCTGGCTGCCCCCAACGTCCCTCCCCCCGGGACGCTGCTGTTTACTGCCCAGGGTGGCTGAAAATTAATTGGCTCCTTGAGCTGCTCTACGTTCCCCGTCAGTGCGATGGCCTCCCCTCATTGCCCTGTCACTTTAAGTCGAAGTGTATTAATGGACTGTGTGGGCCATTGATTCCTAATTTCTCTCGACGTCAACAGGCGGGATAAATACGCCCGAAGTCGGTCGTCTTCTGGCTTATTGTAATCAGCATTGTTATTGATCGCCTGCCCGACCCCCCAGAAGTAATCTATTTTAAATACACTTTCAGTAAAAGAGGGGTGCTCATTGCCTAGTCAGGACACATTGTCTTCATATTAGAGAGGAAAGCCACAGAAGTAGAAAAAGGGAGACAGGAAATACAAGTAAGAAGTGTCCTGAACTGGGAGATAACGGAGAAAGCAAGTGAGAGATGTGCAAACTGGCCGATGGATGCGTTTCACGAGGAGCTGGGCACCGTGGTGAAATATTGCTTGCTTTTGCGTGTAGGTGGTGGTCTCTGGGTGGTCACTGTCAGTGTGAGTGCGTGTGCATATGTGTTTCTACACATCTGTCTCCCCGAGACCAGCGGATGATGGATGAGGACTCAGCTACTAGCGAGCCAGACATTGGAGCGATCGATTTATCCTCACATTTGTCTGGGAGGAGGAGGCGTGCGGCGGCTCGCCACGGTGAACATTTCAACACAGTGTTCCTCGATATGTGCCCGCGTGTCCACGAACACACAGGCATATACAGTATTTTCATAGTAAGCATTTCAAATGGGCAATGATTCTCTCGCACCAGTGGATGCGTGAGCCGTGGTTTGAATTCGTCATTGTGCGCTGACCATAATGACCACCAAGGTGTTTTCATTGATCCGCCTGCAAAATGGCATCCACTTGTTTAACATCCAGAGTAATAATGCTTCAACTGGCCCAGCCTCGCCCGTCTACCTGTTCATCTGGCAGTTTTCTTCAGATATGACTGCACAAGACAGGAGAAGAGTGAGCGTTTGTGCTCACACATGCATGATAAGACGTGCCTGTTTGCGTGTGTCTGGCATTCTCTGCTTGACTTCACGCGTGTCCATGCGTACGCTTGCACCGCCACAAATAGGTTTTTGTGCGACTGTCAAAGAGCCGCTGCTCCGTCCAGCCCATTGAGCAACAAATTAGGGCCGCGAAGCAAAGTTGTCTCCAGTCTAAGCTTTGTTGTTTTTCCCCTTACTCGCTTTGCTCATCGGGTGTTCATAATCAACGTTAACAAATCAGCAGGGCATCCATTGTTCTCCCTGCCCAGCCATCTTGAAAATGGCCCCAATTACTGAGGACACCAAGGCGACGTGTCAGTTATGAGTGAACAAGATTGCATTTGACTTGGACGCGTTACAAGACGTAGGTACTGATGTTGCACACTTCAGAACATTTACAAAGCCAGCACCTGTTTTTGTTTTTTTTAACAATATATTGTGAATGTCAAAGAGCTTCTAGAAGGAAGTTTCTCCACCTGGCAGTCATTTCGGTAGTGCTTCTGGGCTCTTATTTTAAATCCACTGTCAAAATGAATATGGAAAGAGCTTTTCTGTTATCATCAGGGCATAAAAACTGTATAAAGCCACCAGTCTGATGTGACAGAAATAACTTGGGTATTCTTCCTGAAAAAATTGGCTTTTGAAGCTTTTTCAGGTCACGCTTCTTCTACGCATGCTCGCCATTAAACAACTCTATGACTTCATTAAGAGGTCAGTCAGTATTGCTGACGTCCCACCATTCATAATGAAAAACCCCATGCATTCATCTTTTATTCACATGTTACTGTCAAAACGAGAAGATAAAAATATCTTGAGCGACCTCTCGTTTCTTTATGTTTTGCTGCTTCAAAACAGCTTTCTTGTAATTTTTGTAGGGTATCAAAGTTTTTCTTTGGACATCGGCTGCTTTTTCACTCATTTTGAGTCCAGACCTGACTATCTAAGGAAACTGTGGAACACAGGCAACCATATCAGTCTTGGATTGGCCTCCCCAGAGCCTGGATCTCATCATTATTGAAGCAGTGTGGGATCATGTTGACAGAGAACAGAACAAAAGGCAGAAACATCCAAAGAAGAGCTTTGAATGTCCTTCAAGAAGCCTGGAGAACTATTCCTGAAGACTACTTAAAGACATGACAAGAAAGCTGCCTAAGAGAGTTCAGACTGTGCTGAAGAATAAAAGTGGTCACACCAAATATTGACTTTCAAGCTCGTTATGATTGTACAAACTCTGTTTTTGCCTTATTTACTGTATTTACATGTGCGTTTTCAAATGTTTCAATAAAACACTGCATCTCTTTCCCATTCCCTTGCAAAATATAAAGACATGAGAGGCAGCTCAAGACTTTTGCACAGCAGTGGATGCCACCAAATAGTTATAAATGTCGTGAAACTACACTCCAGCTAAGTTGGTTATTTGCTGTTTGTTGCCATTTTTGCATTTACGTGATTCTGTCATATGTTTCTATTAAGGTTTCCACTGAGCACATCTCTCTTTCTTATAAGGTCTCTGGCGTTTACAGCTTCTACGTTTAAAACTTAGTCAGCATCATTGACTCAGTGGCCATGAATATCAACAATTCAATGTTCTCTAACAACAAATCTGTAGTGACATCACTGTCATATGTGTGCTCACAGTTTGGGAAATTTTACACTGAGAAATGTTGAGTTTTGTTTTTGGACTCTGACAGGCAGATCGTCTGTGCCAAAAAATTGACATCTCTGAAATGCTGTAAAAGCCGACTTGGAGTCTCCATCTCTTTGAGTCATGTATATGAGAAGTGCTAACAATGAATGATTGAGTCTAAATGTCTGCTTGGATGTGCAGTTAATGACAATGACAATTATGACAATAGTTTTATGTTAGTGCTGACATTTGCCGCATCACCGATCTCAGACTGCTTCAGTCTTGAAATTTAAAATGATGAATTACTTCATGAGAGGATTCGCAGTCAACTCTTTCTCTCTCTGTCTCAGGGAATGATGTACCTGGAGGAGAGGAGGCTGGTCCACAGGGACCTGGCAGCTCGGAACGTGCTGGTAAAGTCTCCCAATCACATCAAGATCACTGACTTCGGCCTGGCCCGACTGCTGGACGGCGACGAGAAAGAATACAACGCAGACGGGGGAAAGGTCGGTGTAAGTGGAAGAGTGTTAATCTTTATGTGTGTACAGCGCAATTTCACATGCGGGACAATTGATATGAAAGTACTAAAACTACAAGACTTGTGACAGGGAAAACTGAAAACTTTTCACAATAATATACATTAAATTCAGTTCATTTCAATTCAGTTTAATTTATATAAACTTGTCTCACTTTATCTGAGCAAAATCACAGTAACTGTTGACTCGAGGCGCTTTATATTGTAAGGTAAAGATCCTATAAGAATACAGAGAAATCCCAAACAATCAAACATACCACTACAAGCAATCACTTGGTGATGGTGGGAAGGAAAAACTCCCTTTTAACAGGAAGAAACCTCCGGCAGAACCAGGCTCAATGAGAGGCAGCCATCTGCCATTGGTTGGGGGTGATGGGAACAAGAAGAGAGCCAATAGTAACTAATGACGTGATTATTTTGGATCATTATTACTGATTCATTGATGTCTTTAATGTTGCAGCTGTTGATGACTTTAATTATATGTTGCTGAGTAGCTTGATGTACAATGATACAATTTATCTGCTAAATGTTAAGTAAAAAAATAAATGGCATTTAGTAGAAAAGAGTGGCCTTGTAGCAGAAAGTAGTGAAAACATATTAATGCTTAAACAATGCAAAAGTGCATCACACCTTCAGTACTTCAGTAAAGTACTTTAGTGTACACAGTCTCATTTCCTACTGGTCCTTTCCAGGCTCTCAACCAGTGGTATTAACAGTACTCTAGTGCAGCGGCTGCCCTGGTCTTGTCCACCATATTGTCCTGTAAATTTACATATTTGCACAGTAAACAGTTACAATAGCCCATAATACACTACAACCACCTACTCTAAAAAGTAAGTAAAAAAAGTTACTATTTTCATTATATAATTATATGTAATTAGTTTTTAAAGTGTTTGAATTGATGATATTTGTTACATTTCTTTTTTCCATCCTTAGTTCTATTTCTAGCTCCACACTGGCCTTGTTAGCACAGACTGATTAGTTTCATCATACATCTGTGCGCAGCTCTTGTATATTAAAATACAAGCACTTAGAGCACTTACAGCATTAAAAGAAGACAACAGTGGAGCAAATCAGAAACAACCTGACAGCTTCCTTATTACCTCCCGATCAGTGGCTTTACAGTTAAAAAGGAACCAGCTGTGCGATTCTTTAAATATTGATTGGATCATAATTATCTGAGTGCACAAATCAGTAATTAGTCATTCATTACAGATTACTCACTCAGTAACTGTTTTTGTTTTGCTTTAAGGAAGGAAGCACCATACTAGATGCATACTAATACTTCCTTGTTGGATAAGGAATACTTTACCATTAACTACCTTTTCTGTATCACCTTGAGTAAAGATAACTTATTAGTTACTTATTTCCTAGAGACTTTCAATTATTGGTTTTTGTCTGTTCAATCAAATAAGGCAAAGCATTTAAAGATACAGTCATATGAAAAAAAGACACCCCGAGCTTCAAAAAATGACACCTCACGATTCGGTAGCTTGTAGAGCCAAAAACTTGACGAAAGGATTTTCAGTCTTTCACATCATTGTGGAGAAAATCTAAATCGTGCTGCCATGTTCTTTTTAAAGAGGAGAAGAAAGGCACTAGTCACACTTGTTCAGTGTTTTTCTACTTCTACTTGGGATGGGTCTCATCTCAGGAACAACGAGTCAACATACAGAGAGGAGGTGCAACAGCTAACGGACTGGTGTAGAGTTAACAACCTGTCTCTGAATGTGGATAACACAAAAGCGATGATTGTTGACTTCAGGAGAGCACGGAGAGATCACTGTCCACTTAACATTGATGGATCATCTCCGGAGGTCATCAAGAGCACCTAATTCCTTGCTGTCCACCTGGCGGAGAACCTCTCCTGGTCCCTCAAGACCCGCTCCATAACCAAGAAGGTTACAGCATCTGTACTTCTTGCGGAAGCTGAGAAAAGCCCATCTCCCTCCATCTATTCTTACCACGTTCTACAGAGGGATTATTGAGAGCATCGTGAGCAGCTGCATCACTGTCTGGTATGGTGACTGCACCATATCGGATCGCAATACCCTACAACAGATAGTGAGAGCAGCTGAGAAGATCGTTGGAGCCCCTCTCCCCTCCATCGTGGACACTTATAGCACCCGCTCCATCCACAAAGCCACCAGCATCGTGGAGGACCCCACACACCCCTCACACACACTCTTTACCCTGCTGCCCTCTGGAAAGAGGTACCAGGGACCTCACTACCAGACTATGGAACAATTAAAAGTGTTACCATAGAGAGCTTTGAAAACGCCAGTCAAAAGCCGGCTCAGACAGTCAGGGGCTGCATAGCTGTAAAGTAAAGAAGATACAACCTCTGTTACTCTATCATCACTCATTTCAAATGTCAGCACAGCCAGTCACACACACGGCAGAGTTGCAGTGATTCATCTCAGTGTGTTTTTCTTTTGTCAGACAAATAATGATCTTATCGGCGTCAGAGCAATAGTGGAGAATTACTTTTCACGTCACTTAGCAGGTAGTATCCATACCCCGCGATCAAATCACTGTTTTGTGCCCATTCAGCGGAACAAAAACAGACACGCGTGTAAATGAGAACAACAAAATCATAAGTGTGGTGTTGTTTAATCACAGCAGAGGTAACGATGGAGATAAGGAGGAACGTCGGCGGGGTTACAGCACCGTGTTGGCTCCATCTGGCCAGATATTAATTGCCAAGCTTAATTTTGCTGTTTATCAACCCAAAAAAGGGAGAAAAATAAGAAGAAAGGCTGCCGTTTTCATATTTCAGTCATTTAGACGCAAGTAGTTATCTTTACAAGAGCAAAACAAAACAAAAGCACTGTGATTACAGTTTCAAATTTAGAAAAATTAACGCTTTTTGCTTCATGAGCACCTGAAGTAGCATGGACGTACAACAAAAACCCCAAGGAATGTGTTATGTTGAGCACATTTGGTCAGGAAAAACAGTGGTGAACTTTAGCACAGTATAATTTAGAAGCACTTCATGCAAACAAATAACGTAGCCGCAGCTCCCAATCAGTTTGTTTTGTTTGGGGAACCAGTCTGCATTAATTAGAATCGCCTTCTCTTTTTCCCCACCCCACTCGAGACTTCCTATGCAAATGTCCTGATCAACTCCCTTTATTAAATTGGCTCATTCATCGCTACACCCATTCAGCTGGAGGCCCGTAGGTAGCCACTGCATCTTGAGTTGGAGCAGTTATCTCTGGACATGAAAAGGGTGGTGGGAGTGGGAGTGTGGTTGCGGGGTGGGGGGGCAGTATTTTCATAAACCAGGCGAGTTTGATTCAGCCATTCTGAGTGATTGGCTCCATGTTGGTATTCACTGATGCCTGGGGAAAAAATAAGAAAAAGAAAGAAGGGTGGGGGCTGTTGTCAGCACATCTACACGTATGCCATAAAAATAGACGTGCCGTGGGAGATAAATCAACAGAGATGAAAGTGGAGGTGCCATACCACATTTCCAACCTGAAGCAGTTTCATTTCCTCCCTTCCTGCTCATTTCCCCAAAGAATGAGTGTGTGTGTGTGTATGTGTGTGTCTGTCAGGCTACCAAACGAAGGGAGGGGCTGGATTTTAAATGACCTCACATGCAAAAGGACACATAATTGCCTTGCTCAGTAGACATGCTGAAAATCCAGTCAATATGGAAATCACACAGTGGTCGGGATTTGGCGCGACATCTGCCGTCGTCCTTGTCGGGAATGTCGAGAGATCTGCTGTTATTACTGTTTCGCACCCCTTCCCGCTCTCTTTAGGCTGCTCGGATAAAGTGAGACAAATGGCCGATACAATCTCATTTAGCATCTTAAAAAGCGCACTCGCTATTGATGATTTCTGAGTCCAATCAATCGCAATACTTGAGTAATATTGAGCAAAGCAAAACTATGGTTGAAGGCGCTGTCGATTGCTAGCTTTTGAATGCTGGAGTAAAAGAAATGGCTGCTTTTGAGCAAAACAGCATAATGGAAAGTTGTCTGCAATTCAGGTATAAATGGATCAGATGAATGAGAAGCTAATAGTTCAGATTTTAGTTGTTTTATTTTTAATGTCTCTCCTCAGATGCCCATTAAGTGGATGGCTCTGGAGTGCATCCACTACAGGAAGTTCACCCATCAGAGTGACGTGTGGAGCTACGGTGAGTGTATTTCGTGTAGGCGTCAATGTTTCTCGTGCTCCAGCGACCTCAAATCCTGTTTAGTGTATCTGCATTTGCATTTGCACCCGCTCCCTGTCCCCTGTCATTCTCTGGGCCCCTTTGTCTCACCTTTCCAATCTTTCTCCGTCTATCTTATTAATATTTTTGTTTTTCTACTCCTCTTCCGCACAACACACTCCAGGAGTGACCATCTGGGAGCTGATGACATTCGGAGGCAAGCCTTACGATGGGATCCCCACGCGAGAAATCCCAGACATCCTGGAAAAAGGCGAGCGCCTGCCCCAGCCGCCAATTTGCACCATAGACGTCTACATGGTCATGGTCAAATGTAAGAACACACACACACACACACACACACACACACACACACACACACACA